GAACCGAGAAAGAAGAAAGGATGGGCACATGGTGTTTTTCGGCGACGAAGGCATGCTACACTGACAACAATTTTCTTTGAGCACAAACTCAGGACACAGCCATTACACCGGACACAGGAGAGGCTATATACCCAGGGCGCACCCCATGTTCCCACCCACTCACGCGCCTAATCAGGCCCGCTCTGGCCGTGCCACGATGCGCACGTACATGCACGGGTCACGGCGAGCCCGCAACGGAACGACGCGGTCACCCCTCCTCGTTCGCCAATGACCTAGCCCTACATACACGCACACACACGCACGCACACCCGCGCACACACACTCACGCACGCACGCTCGGATTCTACCCAGACACTATTTGGATACACCCCATACATGTCCTAGATAACCAGGAGCACCGATGACGACATGCACGAGGGAGAGGGCGCGGTCGAGGCGGGTGAGGGAGGAGCTCTGGGAGAGCTAACGCGGGTGAGAGAGGGCGAGGAAGAGGGTGCCGGCGATGCGAGGGAGAGATGTGGGTGAGTCGCGAATGAGAGAGGGGTGCGAGTGTTTCGCTGCTGTGCCCCCTACTAACGTGTCCCCGACCGACATGGGGGTAGTCCGGTAGTTTCAACACGCAAAGTTTGGTCAAATGAATGAGCACAAAAACAATACGGTCAAATTATGAGAGATTCGAGTCCAATCGAGACAAAAAGTTTAGCAGTGTATCAAGCAGAAACGCCGAACAAAAGGAACTGAAGATATACCAAGGACGTATATAAAAGAACTCTGGTTTCATCTTATGATCTTATCCCCTCCGACGCTCTAGAAATCGAACCCACCGTTGGCGTCGTAGCCTCCGGCCGAGTCGTACATGTCGACAATAATATCACACCCGAACATGCCCAGCCTACTTCATCATCCCAAACTTGCGGAGGTAGTACTCGTGCTCATCATCCGAGTCGGACGACTCATCGCCGGTGCGTTCCCCAGGGAGGTAGACCCGGTACTTCTGGTCAGGGAAGCGAGCCTTCTCCTCCTCCATAAAGATATCCCACCGCGCCACAATCCTGTCTTCTTCGGCGTCCGAGTCGTGGTACACCTTGTCGTACGGCACATCGTCCTCGTCCGAGCCACAGCAGCAGGCCTTGAAGACCCCCGCCTCCGCCTTGGCCTTGCGGACCGCCGCCTCCGCCTCCGCCTTGGCCTTGGCCTTGCGGACCACCTCCTGCTGCTTGTCCGCCTTGGACTTGGCCATGGCCTTGGCCTTGAGGATCGCCGCGTCCGGCTCCTTCCTGACCATGAAGAACGCCTCCTCCTCTCCTGGTGGGTTAGGGTTTTGTGGATTTGGGATTTCTCTGTCTCTCTCTCGCTGGACAACGGGAGGAAGAGGAGGCCGCGGCTGGCGTATGTATGTCCAGGCGAACAACCCAGGAGCCGCCTCGGGTCGGACTCGGCTCTCGTCTCCGGACTGGCCTCTTTCATCGTACTCGTTCATTGGGCCCCCATCATTTCTTTCTTTCTTTCTACTAGCTTGTTGCGTAATCTTCTCAAAGAAAAAAAAATCTACTGTTACTCAAAAAAAATCTACTACCGCTCAAAAACAAAAAAAAAACGGAAATGTTAACGCCCACACGTGTGGCATGGCGTCAACTCGACCACACGCGCTTATCGCCGTCCACTGCATTTCACACCAATCTTGACACGATGCTGGGATTCCGGACTGCCACGTAGGACTAGCGAAGTATGTGGCGTGTATGCCACTTCGCCCGCACGCTGTTTTGCCCCGACGACGACGGTTTTCATAGTCAGCGCGTGCGGTGGAACTGCCATCTCGCCCGCACACGATCTCGAACGCGTGGTTGCCATATTGCACGACTTGCCACTCACCCCTCCCCGCACTGGTGATCTCTCGCTCCCTCCCCATTTACTCCCCAACCCACCCATTCTATAGCGGTTCCAATCGATTCGGGAGGAGTCGAGAGGAGAAGGCGGCGGCGGTGGCGGAGTAGTCGACGACATTCGCGGCGGTTGTTGGGATTCGCCGGCCGGGGACGTCGTCGCCGGAGCAGCTGCAGGCCGAAGGTAAGCCTTCCGCCGTGGTCACACCCATTCCCCCGCGATTCATATCCCCTTTATGTGCTTGCTCGATTTCCCATCGGGATTTCTCGAGATCCCGGCGTTTTTCGCGGTGCGCATGTGTTGCCGCCGGCGAAGAGTCGGTTGTTTTGCTCACCCCTCCCCGCACGGTAGCTTGTTATGGTCTCGTCGCCGTCTCTCTCGCCGTCAAGCCGGCGAGACTCGTCGAATCCCCAACCGCATGTGCTCTCGCAACTGCTTTTTTGGGATGGCGATGTTGATGCTGTTTAGTTCATTATGTTGCTCCTGAAATGCTATTGCCGTCAGTGTCGAGGCGTTTGTGTTGATGAAATTGATATTATGCTAGTTGTGGACGAACCCTAGATCTATTTCAGGCGCATTCCAGAGTTTTGAGAATGATTGCCATGACAATTTGAAACAACTGCCACCACTGATGGCAACTGATTTCTGAAATTACCATGTCAGTTGCCTTGTCAGTGGTGCATTTTAGGCGCGTATCAGATTGTATGCGAATGAAAGTCAAGTCAATTTCAATATCTACCACCTCTGATGGCAACTAATTTTTGAAACAACTTTTTTAGTTGCCATGTAATTGGTACGACAATGTTACTGTTTGGTTTTGTTTGAATCTACTTTTTAGGTGCATTTCACATTGTTTGAGAATGATTGTCATGGCAATTTCAACAACTACCACCACTGATGGCAACTGATTTTTGAATCAGCTGAGTCAGTTGCCATGTAGTGGTGCATCTTAGGCACATTTTCAGAGTGTTTGAGAATGAAAGTCATGCGAATTTCATCAACTACCACATCTAATGGCAATTAATTTCTGAAACAAATGTGTCAGTTGCCATGTCAGTGGTACAGTAATGTTACTGTTTTGGTTTTTGTTGGATACCGTTTTACGTGCATTTCAAATTGTTTGAGAATGATTGTCATGGGAATTTTAACAACTGCCACCACTAATGGCAACTGATTTTTGAATCAATTGAGTCAGTTGCCATGTCAATGGTGCATCTTAAGCACATTTTCAGAGTGTTT